CAGTGGCGGCATCGGATGATTCACCCCCTGAACACTCACCACAATAATGTAAAACGAAAAAAGAAAAAGAAGAAACAGAAGAAAAAAAAATCCCCGAGGATCCCAAAATCCGAAGAGGGATCCGGATAACTCTAATCAGACAAGGATGATAAGGGAGGATGCGGACGAAACGCAACGGCGAGCTCCGGCGTAACCCGCTTTCGGCAGAACCAAACGGGGTCGCCCTTTGGGAAGGTTGGGCTCGGGGTGGCGCCTTGCAGATTGTGGTGGAAATTCCTATGGGAGTGAAAACATACCAAGAATGGGGGGAGAAATAAATAAAGAGAACATCATTACCATAGAAGGCCCGTCGACGAGATTCCCACCCCACCCCCTCTTCTCACTACGCAGGGTTGAATGCGCGTTTTTTTTATATACACACAACTGATCTTAGCAATCAATAGGTTAAACGACAAAATAAAAATGGTTACACGCGGGTGCACTCGCACACCTTTACTGGTTTACTCGTTATAGCTGGTCATATCGCTGAAGAAGCCACCCACGCGTCGGCGCCGCTTCTCAAACGTAAAGTTAATCTTCTTCTTCTTCTCTTCTTTTAACCACTTCGCGGCCGCGACGCGCTCGCGCTTTTGTTGTCGGCTCAGCTGCAGTTCCTCCATCGGATCGACCGCCACCTTGTTATCCTCCACTGCCGTTTCAACGGGATGGGAAGTGCGAGATGCCTTCGATTGCTTCGTCGCCGTCGCGCCGCGTTTACCGCTCGTTGGGTTGCCCTGGTCGTCGTCGTGGTCGTTTTGCTGCTTTTGCCGCTTTCTCGGCGCCAACTCCTCCTCGCTTGAGGGCTCCGAGTCCTCATCCGACGAGTCGCTGTCGCTTGAGCCCGAGGAGCTGTCGTTCTGCATCGCGTCGCTACTTTCACTGCTCGCCTCTTCCTCTTCCTCTTCCTCCCCCTCCTCTTCCAGGCGTTGCTTACGCTCTTCCTCGGCCGCAGCGTCGAGCTCGATCTCGCGGAGGGTGCTCATATGTCGCCGCTCCGTCTTGTTTCGCAACACGTCGATGGCCTTCTCGTCATTTAAGAAGCGAATGTCGACAAAGTCGATGATATTGTCATCCCCTCCCACTGCCAGCATCTGGTTATCATGGCTCACATGCATGCGCGTGATCCCCTCATGCCCGCGCTGCTTCCGGACGATGTAGTTGCTATTATGATAGGAATTTGCCGTCGCGTTAGAAGACGAGGCGATGCTGTTGGCGTGCGAATAGGTGTAATCCCGCGCGCTAAGTTGGCAGAGATTACGCCGCAAGGGGTACATTTGGACAACCCGCACGAGCCCATCACAGGCGCCGGTGAGGATGAGATTATTCCCCACCACGGTGGTTTCACTATTAAAACTGATGATGCTCTCACACTCCCGCGGGTGACGATCCAGCACGTCATACGGGCGGCGCCAGGAGCCGTACTTCCAAATCGGCAAGCTCCCGGACGGGGTCCCGCAGATGATGCTCGGCGTGAAGGTCTCCCGATTCGCCCCGCTGCTGTTAATAAAGGCGAAGCAGTTGAGCTCGTCGTTGCGAGGCTCGCTAAAGTCACGAATGCGGCCCGCGCGGACGTCGTACACGCCCAAACAGGTATCCCCACTTCCTGAAACGAGCTCCTGCACGTCCGTGAAGAAGATGAGCTGCGAGACGTAATCGCCGTGTTCGTGGTAGACGTGCACCGGTCGTCGTTCTCGCATATCCCACACCGCAATCAACCCGTCGTCGTCGCCCGTGGCCACGAGGTTTTCATCGCAAACGCACAACGACGCGATGCCGTACTGATGGGGGTTGGGGGTCACCGTGTAGCGCTTCGAGGACGTCTTTCGCGTCGTCTTCGCAGGGGCATTTCCATTCCGTTGGGGTTTCAACCCATTCGCGTTCTTCGTCTTCTTCGCCGCCACCTCCATCGAATCGGCGGTGAGGTGAATCACAAGGCAGGAGGTAACGCAGTCAAGCACGGAGACGGTCCGATCGCTGCTCGCCGAAACCAAATACGCGCCATCATCGGTGAACTCCATTGAGGTGATGCTGCCGTGGGGGTGCAGGCGCATGCTGCCGTTCGTTTCGCTCACCACCACTTTGGACTCATCGTAGAGTTTATTGCGCCCGAAAACCCACGACGTGAAGTCGTTCACGAGCGGTTTTTGCATCACATCGCTGCCGTTATACTCATAGATGGCGACCTCACCCGTTACCATCCCCACCGCGAAGATCGGAAGCTTCGGGTGGAAGCCGAAGTCTAAAACAGGAGCTGGCGCCAAGAGGGATGGCGGTACAACGGGGACGCAGCTATCACCTAGCAAGACGTCATCGCTAGTCTCTAAGTTGCTTAAATCCATTCCTACCAGCAATGAAGTAAAGAAAAAAATTAACTTGGGAGGAGGAATAATTTTGCATAGCAGTTGTAGCGAAAAGTACACAAAAACGAAGGTTAACAAACAAACACACGCCTCAAAGACAAATACATCGCCATAAGACAAGAAAAAAAAGACACTCACGTATTATATCAATAAGAAATTTGTACGTTTCAATGCGAGAAAACTTAAACACGATCCTTGTAAAAAAATGAAGCAAAAAAAAAATCAAATATACATATTATATATAGAGTATTGAACTGAAAATGACGCTTTATACTCACTTCTCTGGAGTTTTAATAAATTCAAGGATCCATTTAGCCACTTCTTCACGGTGGGCAGGTTCGGCAAAGAACCAATGACCGCCCCCGTTTATCATTATGGCATTCGAAATGCCATCCTCTACTCGTTTTACAGATGTGATATAATCACACCATTGAGGTGAATGCTGCATGACAGACTTATTGCTACCATACATGAAAAGAATAGGAATCGGGATCGGAGAAAAATGTCTCTCGGAGATCAAGGGTGAAAACCTTGTCCCCTCTTTGTAAATAAGGCCATCGGACGTAGAGCCTCCCCCTCGAGAACTCTCATCCTTGTTAAATCCTCGCGTCTTTCTGTGAGAACTTCTTTTCTGAAGGGTTCTATTAGGTCTCTCTAGCGTATGCATGGGTTGAGAAGGCGCATAAGATGGTTTTTGCCTTGGTGAAAAAACCCAAGCTGTAAAGATGGAGATCCAATAGCGTAAATAAATCCAATATTTCTCTGGGCTTACCTGTACACTTAGCTCATTAAGGGTACGCATTTTATTCTTGTAAGCTCTGATGTTGGATGGAATTCTCATACTGAAAGTAGCAGCGGCCACGTCACTTTCCTCATAGCAAGGTAGTCCTTCGTACCGGCAGGGGTAAAAGCAAGCCGCCGCCCTTGACTTCGCCTCAGACATATTTTTAGTATTCTTTCCCTCCAAGGAAACCCCAAGCGGAGGAAAGAAGAACGACTTGTAATAAATGTTTTTCTTTGACAACGATCTTATCGACTCCGAAGCGCTGTTGGGAGGCGAACGGAGGCTACGTGACGCCGAGGGGTCCGCTCCAGCCGTTTCAGGAGTAGAGCCCCTTAAGTTAAAGGGGAGTCTGCCGCCGTGGTAGTAATCTTCCTCACACCAGCGATCCCTGTACGCATAATAGGGATTTACCCCGCTCATTGTATCCCACATGCAGTGTGAAGTGGCCTTGTTTCCTGACTCCGCTAGTGCGTATTGGGTAGAAAACTTCCAGGGTTTTAAATTAGAGTCATTTACAGCTGCAGAATCAGGAATAAAGCCCCTCAACGAGGAAAGCTGGTTCGTTTTTTGATCGCTCGCGCGCGCGACGTCGTCCTCAGACCCCGGAAAAACAGGGTTATCTCGCGAGCCTTGCTGATAAGACAACTGAGGGGGGTGGCATTGGGGTGATGGGGAGCCGGACGCCAAAAATGGAACCATGAAAATACACCAAGAGTTATATGCTTGCGTCGTTTCCAGGCTCACACTGTTGGGATCTTTGTGGCGCCCATCGTGGCTGTTGGGAGTGTGGAAACTGTTTAACAGCGAATAGTCGTTGAGAGGGATGCCGTCTGAGGGATTGCGGGATGGGAAGCGAGGCAAAGCTCTCAGCAGAAAAGATGGAATCCAGGATCGTGGCTTGAACAGCAACCCCACGGATAACTCGACCGTTTTCAGGAGTTTTTTCACCTCATGGTGTCCTTCACAATCGGATCGGCCGTGCTGTGTGTAACCCACTGTTTCCGGGGAAAACTGATACCGTGGATCGTACGAATAGCAGGGCCGATTAGACAGGTATAGAAGGATACGCAAAACCCACCGTGCGATCATAACGGGGAGGAAGAGTCCGCAGAGGATCACCACCAGCTCCTTGGTGAACGCGATGCCCCACTCTATCCATTGTTGAAAAGGGCCTGTGCGCTCTTTCGGGCATTTCCCCGCTCGCCACGACACAGAGGGCGGGGAAGAGGGCGGCGAAAATGATTTAGCACTCGCCTTTCCTCTCAAATGGGCCTTACCTACGGGTGATTCCACATAGGGGGGCTGCTGGACGGGCTTGAGCGTCGTGCTTTTCGTGATGGATGTGGTGAGGCCCTCCGAAGGGGATAATGGGCTGTCTACCAAGGCATCGCCCTCCGCATGGGCCAGGCTGGGGATGTCGACACCCGCTCCGTTAGCTTTGGAGTTGGGTATGTGAGAGGAAGGGGTGGAGCTCGAACAATGCGTAGCCGCAGGCGGTAAGGCAAAGGTCTTGTCAGGTATCTGATTTGCCGTCTTTGCCTCCTCCCGCAATGACGCTACAGAAAGTGAATCGGGCCTGTTTTTCCTCATGGCGCTGATGTGGCGGGGCCGTCTGATAGGGCGCGTGATCGTTTGGAGTCCTCTATCGGACACCCTCATTCCAGTATCCAGTGCTATGATGCGTGAAAATAATTTTGGCCTCGCTAAAAGAAGCTCATACGCAAGTAAACAACCGAAATCGTGCGCCACAAGGATCGGTCTGGGGTAGCACGGTTGTAGCTGGTGTGGAGGGATATCTTGTGCATGTTCCCCATGATCCTCAACGTCCAGCGTGGCTCGAACGAAAGCCCTGGGGTAGTAGTTGTAATTCTCCATTGCGGTATCCACCGCAATTTCTAGAAAGGTTACGAGATCCTGGAAGCTATACCCAAAGCGCGGGGTCCGCATGAGGACACCCTCTGTGGTTTGCATTGTTGTAGCGCGATACGTACGTTTGGAAAAGGACGCGGAAGAGTGCTGAGAAGAATGGGTGTTCCGCGAGGAATATTCTCTCACAGCTTCCTCACCTTCCATCGGAGGTTTGGGCAAGGCCTCAGAAGTGGAAATAGAGCCACTCGGGTGCTTGTAAATTTGCTCCCAAAACGGGATCGAACGCTTTGTGGTACAAGAAGAAAATACCGCATCCTCGCGATGCTTTCCTGTTGATGCCAGGTAGTTCCGTTCCGGTGGGCACGGAAAAGACCGGCTGAACTCTTGAAAGAATGGGTGATCGTGGTCGAATCCAGGAATCGTAATGCCGACAATGCGGTAGTCGGCTGCTAGAGCACGTTGAATATTATTACGAAAAACATCGCATGTGTCTGGCCATCCAGCTATGAAAATGACCGTTGGGGCATGAAGATTTTCAGATATCGAGATATTCATCTACGACATAAAAATTTTATATTGTTATCAATTTGTATTCATAAAATTAGCCCAATTAAGTGCATCGGTTAAAAGCAAAAAATGATAAAAAATTAATAATTGAGAGACTGATATATCTATAGAGAGAACTATTCGTTATATAAATATATATAGATAGGTATAGATATGAAAGAACCAAGAAAGTAAGGAAAGGAAAAGGTATGAAGGCATCATTGGAAAGGTATGTCGTTGTGATCGACTATATATCTAATAATACACTGCACCCCTACTTAAATTAGTTGCTAGACGTGAAAAAAATCTAGCCTGCAGAGAATCTGCTAATAGCGACAGCATTACTTATTTACTTTATACATTTTATCAAAAAATCGTATTATTAATGAGTTAGCAGCAATCAAAAGGACAATTGTTTAAAAAAACCTTGCCATTCGATTCCTTCAGAATGACCAGCATTTAGTAAGTACATAAATGTGTGAAATTTAACCAAAACGTATAAATTGCTTACTTAATATCTGAATTAGCAGGGCACAACTCATATTAGATGTAGATATAAAGATTAGCAATTTTAAGTGTAATTATTTTTTTTAAGAGTCCAACTTGTTACCCACTTTTATCTGTCTATACATTTCTGTTCTCCGTCAGACTCCATTGAAGCCGGACAAATTGTAAATAGGTTCATTTAAAAAAATGAACACATCCAGTACCCATTACGACCAAACCTATGTGTAATAAACCATTGTTAAGAAAATCGTTGTCCCATTTCAGACAAAAAAACTGAAAGTGGTAAATGAAGAAATTGTTATCTTTTTGGGCGTGGCCTACAAAGAAAACAGATAAATAATAATAAAAAGTGAGGATACGAAATTTACCTATTCGGTTTTTACTGCACAGTTTAATGAAAAACACTCCTGAAAATGTTATTGAAATTAAACCAAAGCTATCTAAACAAGATTATTATATGTAAAATTCTTTAAAGTATCTCGAAACTTATTTACTTACCCCTTGCTAAACCTACTAGTTATTATAAGCATAATATATATACTAGATGAAATGTGTCCTTCGTATTATTCTCCTATTTTTTTCTCTTTTCTGATCTTTTTTGTAGCTGGATGGATAATATTCCTCTGTTTAAATGCATCCGTAGTACTAAATCAAGAATAGTCAACGAAAATCGTTGAACATATTATGTGGTAATTCCTCGGCTAATGTAATCTGTTTTGAGATAACGCCTGATGCATCACTGGCGTGTTGACAAACATGGGGACAGGCGTCATATTTACATGGGAGGACGAACTCACGAGGGGCACTCCGGAAGCATTTCTGGACATTTCCATCGAGTCTGGATAACATCGCGTCGGAAGGGGGTGAATGAGCCGCACGAGTCCCATCCGGCCGTCGGGCAAAGGAATAGCCGTGAATTGTTCTGGCTGTGCGGAAATCAACTGCACCGGTGTCATTTCCTGCTGTTTCAGCGACGTTGCCGGACGAAGAGAGGATTGCTGCTGTAGGTGCTGCATTCGCTGTTGTTGTTGCTGCTGCTGCTGCGCTAACACGTTGGCGTACTGGGAATTGGAAATAAATAGGTTGGGCAACGGGATCGCCGTTAGCATGGATTCCTGCGTCGTCTTCGCCCCTACTCTCCCAATCACGGGCCGCGCGCTCTGGGGGTGCCGATTGAAGCTTCCCCCTTGAGCCCCTAAGGCGTCCCGTTGCGCCATCTCCGAGGACACCTGTGGGGAGAAGGAGAGCGGCGTCGACATCTCGACCCCACCCGGGTGAACCCCTGGGCTGCACCCACGGCCCAACTCTTCCGTCGACGGATAGATCCCGAAGCAGGTGCTGACGCCAAAATGCGGGTTCAGCTGGGACGGCTCATACAAGGAGGCCGCCAAGTTGCTCGAGGCCTGGAGGTTGCCCGCGCAGCCATAGCTATTGGGATGACGGGCCGGCAGCGATTCCTCGGCGGAGCCCGCGATCCCCGGCTCCGGACGGATCGTCTCCGAATTCACCACCGACCACTCGCCTTGAACGGGCAGGCCGTCGTCGGGGCTGAGGCCGGTGGGGGGTTCGGATCCTTTGAGGGCCACATCGGCATCCGGCATGGCGACCGCCCCCACGGGGGACTGGACCTCCGGCGCGTTGGACTCCATCGTGAAGGGGTAGATCGTGCCGGTGAAGAAAGGAAGCGAATCGACGTTCGAAAACTCCTCTTTGGCATCAAAACTATCCTTGTTCTCCATTCTGGCGACGGCAGAAAGCAGCTCGGCGAGGCCCTCTTCGTTATCAAAGCTCAGATTCAATTCAGGTTCGGAGGGGCCACTCATGGCGCAAGTCGGTTGCTCCGAATGGAAAGGGATGGGCTGTTGGGCCTTCACGAAAGTACCCTGATTCATGGAATTCAAGTTTGGCTCCTCCTCCTTGCTCATTCCCTCAGAAAAGCCCACACACAAGTTCCCGGACTCCTCCCACGGCAGTGGACTCGATTGAACGGTCGCTTGGGGCGGGGGATCCGGAAAAGAAAGCGGCACGTGGCTCGACATCCCTCCTGCCGTGGCCGGCTTCCCCCCACTCCTCGCCCCTGCAAAGGAGGAGAAAAACGGAATTCCCTGTGGGGTGGATCGATTCCCCTCCATCGCATGCCCGGGGAAGATCGATGAGGAGGTCATCTCCGCAAGGGCCGAGCGAACCCCCAATGACGGGGGGGAATCCCCTTCATTAGAGAGGGAGAAGGGGAGAGGCGCAGCGGGGCTGACTCCCCACACTGATTTGGGGGGCTGAGTGAACCACTCCGAAACCGGCTGGGGGATGCGTGAGTTAGGGGCAACGCGGGCCGCCTGCGAGGGCGGCGGGGGAGCGCCCTTCTTTCGCTCCACGGGTTCGCTCGAGCGCGCGGGGGAGAGCTCCAGCTTCGCCTTGGCCTTCGCACTTGGCAGGGGTTTTCGCTCCGTCTCCCGCGGTGGTTTCTCCGCCAACAGATCCCCTTTTCTTCGCTCTGCCTCTTTACGCGTTTTCAGGGGCAGCGGCTGGGAGGGTCGTGGATCCACCGCCGCGGTGGGTTTCCCGCCCCTCATCCCCAGCCTGTCTCCACCGTCCTCGACTGCGCTAAAATGGGGTTCCTTATTTTTCTTCGTGAATTCTTTGGCATTCTTCGTAGCATGATCGTTCACGTTGTTCTGAGAGTGATTGGATGGTTGAGAGAATTCGACACTCTTGGAAGATGGCACCCTGGATAACGGGCGACCCAGAGGTTCTAAAGTGAATTTGCTATTCACGTCTTTTCGTAACGTCCGTTCAATAGGACTCTTAATCTCGACTGTTTGATCAGCTAAATTCTCATTATTCTCTTCATGGGGCTCAATCCATTCCATGGTCTTGAGTCTAGGGTGAAGAGAAGAAAGTTTATCCTCCAAAGTCGTGGTCTCATCTGTGCCGGACGACTTCTGCAAGGAGTCGTTTCTACCATGACCTCGTTCAGTTGATCTTGGCTCCTCATCCATTTTCTTGTCGTACTCAGCCAAAGTTCCGCTATCACTATCGCAACTCAAAGCTTCCTTGAGATTTGTCGAGGGGACGTTTCCAGAACTCATAGGATCAGATTGTCTGGTTTTCAGGGATGATGCGGACGTGGCGCCATGTGGACAATGATATGGTTTGGATTCCGATTCCCCATGATGTGATTTCTTTTCTTCCCTGGAAAATATTTTCTGAGAAATAGCCAGCGCTTCAGTAGTAACTATAATCCCTACTGAGCCGTTCGAATCCGCTCCTTCGATATTGGTGGAAGCCTCAGAGGCGTTTTCGGAAGTCACCAGCGTAAGGGGTTCACTTACACTAACCACTTCCGTCGCGGAGCAAGGTCTACCCGAGTTAGGGATCTCGAAGCTCTCCAGCTCTAAGTGACTTTCTAGAGACGTATTATCTATCAACTTGGCCGCGGTACCGTCCGCCGTATTATCGACGGCCTCGGTGATAGGCGAGGCCTCCTTGATATGAATCTCACCACTGCTTTCTGCTTCACTCAATAAATTATAAGTCCTCGCAAAGGAGTCGTCATCTGGTTTTGCTCCCCTACGCATTCGGGACCCGGTGCCATTCGGGGAGATCGGGCTAGTGGAAAGAGAGACCTTCGCCTCAACGCCTTTCGATGGTGATGCCGTTAGCACGACGTTTTTTCTGCGGTTCACTCCCGCATGATACATCCTACTTGGGATCTGCGACGGTACTTCAGGTACTGAAGTTGCATACGGAGTGCTCTTACGCGTCCGACCTGCCCTTGAGGAAAACACGAAACTATTAAACTTCTCTACGAGAGTCTTTAGACCTATCTCATCGGTTTGGACAGACGTTTGGGGGGATTCGACCCTTTGTTGCCGATCCTTACGCCCTTTCCCCGGATCATTTTTTCGGTTCGCTAATGCGTAGAGACACACAGTGCCAAACGCGATAATATTTTCATCCAAAAAGGGCCCATAAGCCCACGAGACGTTGTAGCTGCTCAAAATTTGAATCGAGTACATCTTGAAATTCTGCGGGATCAAGCCACGTTTCTGACCAAGAGCATCAGTACGGTTTTGGTCGTTATATTTGTTACGCGGGAAGTAGTAGCACTCAAGCCCCATTAGCAGTGTGCATAGGCACATGTAAAATTCCGAGGGTAAGTTGTGATGCAATTTCTCACTGCGTTGGCAAACCATAAGAAGTAAAATTAGTGCCGTCCGCATCATGGATGAAAGAAACTGAATTTCATTAAATGGGACCATCACACGTAACCACAGAATAGTACTCAGATACACCATGAGATCAGAAGTTACACCCAGAATGTTACAGTTCTGACGACTGCTCCAGATAGAGCGACTGATGATCTTAGGTGCAACCAAAAAGAAAAAAAACACCGCGAACAATTGTATGTCAAAGCTCCACTCACACATTACAATAGTGTACCATGAGGCCAGGAATAGAACAAAGTTAAAATTGAACCAACTCTGCCCCCGTGCTGCTGCTCGCGATGGCGACTTCACTACTCCATAATTAAACACGAGGGATTGCACACGTTGCAAGATTTGCACAAAATCGATGGCTGCCTCTACAATCCTTGCACGCTGCCCCACAAAAAGAAGCCCGTTTGACAACAAGCTCGTTAATGAAATCGCGAAGGCGTAGGAAAAATAAGCATGCTGGGCGTAATTGCACTGGCGAAGATAAGCTAATTGGCGCAGGCTCACCTCGGTTGATGGTCGTAAGAACAGCAAGGTCGTCAAAACTACAACCGCAGCCGACAGAGCCATCACGTTTGAGAAATTTGCCCATTGCATCGTGTTGGAAATGAAAAGACCCAACACCGCCCGCTGGAGGAAGAGCGAATCCAACAAGAAAAATGCCGCGAAAAAGTAAACTCCCATTTCGTAGAAAAAGGTCGCATTAGTGAAGAAGGTGTGATAGCTAAACCGTGTTGTGCGACCGATGCGCAGACTAAAGCTGATAACGTTAAAGCCGTTGAATTTAGCACTTGGAAAGGGAGCCGAGGCAGTTGAGGGGATTGTCATGCCACCCACGCCTTTAAACCGTCGAGTGGAGAGCGTGCTCGCTGCTGAATCCTGCGCGGCACCGCCCCCCCCTCCATAGCTGATCCCTCCACTCGCGACCTCCCCGCCGCCATCACCGCCGCTGTGGCTTAGCGGCAACCAAAAGTTGGATTCCGACGAGTAAATTATAAAACGTGCGGTTATCACTGCGGCCTCCACGAGAACGGGGCTCAGGCTCATATGCGCGAAAACACCAACCCAATTCACGAAAATAGCTGCTAGCCACGAAAAAACCATCAGGGCGCGCCAAACCCACACTGATTGGATATGATCGGCGAGGCGGGAGGCGTTTGGCCTTGCGAATTGCGCGCTTGCATGGCGTTGATGCGGCTTTGTGTGGAAAAGTACCTCGCTCAACCACGAAAGACTAATCAAGACATCTGAAAAGATGTCTACATCTTCATTTTCAAACTCATCCTCGATGTGGTTGAGAGACATCTTCCTAAAATCATCTTCGGACGTCTCCTCGTCAATCGTGGCCCCGTCAACATTGGGAAAAGAATTTAAAAACGTGTTAGATTTATAGTCTACAGATTGAATGCGGGAATAATTGAGTTGGCTAGGCTTTCCGCTGCGTGTATCTTTTATCATCGGTAAATACCCTCCACTTCGGCTCATAATTATAAATCAAAGTGATAAATAAAATGGAAAATGCCTGTGCGTACTGAAGCGGGCAAAACTTCCGCTTATTATTGGGTATAGTTCTTCCGGAAACTCAAAAATTCAAAGCTATAGAAAAATAAAAATTATTAAATCGAGTAAGGTATATATCAAATCGGTTTGGTAAGCAGAAAAAGAACAGGGGTGTCCTTTTTTAACAGATCTTTTGTGTAATTACTTCTATAAGTCTGTAATTTTAACGATCTTAATATGTGTATGCATATAATGGTATCACAAGAAACTTTGTATATGTTTTGGACCCCCGTATCGTTTTTTTTGCTTCACAATGAAAGATAGATACAGCAGCAAATTCTGAAATAATAAAAACAGACGAATTAATGATGCGTTGTGAAAGAAATAATAGACAAAACTCTTCTTGAGACCAACAATAATAGAAATGGTAATATTGTAACAAGAGAAAGTAGAAACAAAACTAAAAATAGGCCTTTGCCGTATTGAAGTTTTATTTCCAGGAAAGCAAGCAAGCTCACTTTGTATACTGTATAAATAAATAAATAATATATATATATATATATATATATATATTTAGTTATTTATACGAAGATGTATACAAAGGTATCTTTATTTTCCCTTATTATGAGCCCAGAGGAAAATAAAATGCTAGCTGATAGGTTTTCCTGTTTGTAGTTATAGATAGTACAACCCCAAGGCTGCGCGGATCAGTGCTGGTAATGAGAGGCCCTCTGCTGAAACCTATTGTCTCCTAAAAATAATATATAAGATGACAAAAATAAAGAATCTTTTTCCTAAATTCCACCTTAATTGCATGAAAACTTTAAACTCAAATCCAAAGAAAAGAATAGAGTGATAGATAAAGGAACGATAATTATCATAAATTGAATTAGACAGATAGTAAAAATGTCATTGTTAAAATTCCTTCTCTTTTTATTTCACCGCAATACTATTTCTGAAAAGGGAATGAGAAGCGTTACCTGAAAAGTAAAAAAATATTTCCTCGAAAATATTGACTTCATTCCCACTGCATTTTTATCGTTAATTTACTTCGCAAACATACACACACAAATACAACACACAAAAGTATTAGCAAGCTAGTTTTTTTCCGATTCGATAGACTCAATGGTTCTCAAGAGATGTTTAATGCGATACGCGTGCTTATCGATTTGCACACGCAGCCGCTCGTTCTCCTCCTTCAACTCATCGCGTTGGGCTCGGATTAGTTCGCACTCCTCGCGATCCTCGTTTAGCAGCTTCAGCAGCTTCTCCAAGCGCTCAATTAGACTCGATTTATCTGACACGCCATCGACCATCTTCATTAGATTCTCAATCGCCTTCTCCGAGTTGTCAGCCCTCTTTTCGAGAACTGAGATAACTTTCTCGACACTTCCGGTGTCTAATCCCATCTTTTGGTCCGAGGAGCGGCAAAGAAAAGACCTTAGAGTAGGATGGAAGTAACGAACAGAACAGCGAGATAAAGGTGACGGATTCAGACACCTTAAGGATAGTCGCTGCAGAAGAGGATTTGTAGCAAAGGATGAATACAAAGACACTTGAAACAACGTTATAAGCAAGGCCTCTAAGGAATAAAATATTTATGAATATTTTTTAGTCCGCGGTAGTGATCCAAGATAAAAACTTTAAAGTATTTTATTCTTTATTTTTTTAGTAAAAAAAAGAAAGAGACAAGTAAAGAATACTTTTGCAGTCAAAAAGTGTGGAATCTTCCAATATCCTGTGAAGGTTTATGGGTGCGGGAATGATTACCACAAACGAATAAAAGACAGAGAATCATGGACAGCAAAGCAGTTTACCGCCAGTAACACACTAACAGAATATGGAGAAAAGGACAAAACTGTTTCCTTAAATGAATCCATTTCATGTTCCAGTAAACTCATGAAACCGAAATCCAAGCAACCCATAAAATAGCCAAAACGGAGAAGTCACACTTTTGGAAAGAAAAGCATCCCTGCTTCTCTTTCGATGTAACCGGGGAGATGCTATTTCTTTTCCTCCCTTTTCCGGGTGTTCAACCCAGCCGACGGGCGAGTTCCCGTGCCTCCTCCACGATCGCCCGGAGCTCCGACAACGCGAGTTGATCGAATGTTTTGTTTTGCACGACTAACAGATCTCGAATCACACGCGTCGGCAGGGCGCCGCGGTCGGAGGCCTCCGCGGAGGCGAACAGACGAAAAGGCAGCCACGACGTGAGCGGCGCCGTCTCCATCGACGGGGGTGAGGGTGGGGAAGCCGAAGGCGGTGGCGGCTTCGCGTCGTCAAAAAGGGATTCCAACGAAAAGACCGACCCCTTCGCCGTCGTGCCGGTGGCGCGCAGCATCGCGGAGGTTTGCCGGATCGACGGAAGGAGGCCCTCCTCACGGAGCATCGACGACGGCGGGCACGTCGCCACCGGGCGGGGGAA